TGTTCAAAATTACAAATAAAAACATGAGGAATGATTTGTATAATATTGGGAAAAATCAGAGCATGACTATGAAATATGATCAAGAATATTGTTCCAATAATAATAGAGATAAAAGCAAGACGATGAGTACTTCTACGTCTTGTTAGTGCATGATGCGAAGTGATTAATACTCGATCAACAGAAGCCAGAATTAAATAAAACTGACTTAAACTATGAAATAAAAGTGCGGTATAAAGACGTAACCGGCAGAGGACTAAACTAGATGTAGTTGGATCAATTTGATATCCTAAACTTACTATTAAGAATAATAGTGCAAAATAGATATACAGTATATTAGCAGTATTATATGCAATAAAATAATTTGCACATGGATTTCGTCGAAGAGTTTTTTGAAAGAATGTAGTTAAATTCAATAGACAGCCGATCGTACCAATGAAGAGTAAAACTGGACCAACAAATCGACATAAATATGTCTCTATTGATTGGATTAAAATACTTGCTGCTGACGAAGACATGATGATGTTCAAACAAAAAAGTAACTGTGTTCGTTAGAATATAAAAAGTAACATTACTTTTATACCAATTTATTGAAGCTCAAGAAAAAGAAAGTCACCGGGAGACATACTTTATTTAACAAGTTGCTATTTTTAACATTTCTACTGATTAGAGAAGAGGTTTTAGAAAATTATGTCGAAAAAAATGGAGTTTAGCACGCCAGGATATACAGTGCATTTCTGAGATCTCTTTATATTTTACGAGATACAAACTATATCAGAAATTACATTCAAATGCATAATGAATAAGTCATCAAGCGTAATTAACTGGAGATTACGTTATGTGGATAGTGATATGTTAACTACAAATATTTTCTTCTTCTTGAACAATTCCATTGATTTGATCATTAAGAATAAAAACTGTTATATGCTAATTTAGTCAGCGAAACGTGACAATTAATCTATGATAACATTCATTATGGGATAGAAATGGAAATTAGCATAAGAGAGTCATTAAGTCTTGAAATCGGCCTACTCTTAAAATTTATTATTAGGAATTGACGACTGTTCTAATTGGACTTTTTCATCTGATACTAGGGGTAAAAAGTCGATAAAAAATTTGATATAATCTAGGCCGTATACAATAAAAGCTTTTCTTTCATCTAGCGAATGTTACAAATAGAGTGGGCGAGAAGTCAATTTGCCGAGAAAAAGATTGAATATTTCTTTTGTGGTTTGAGCAAGCGAGTTGACTTTTTTTATTAGTGATAGGGATGTGTTTGTTAAGTATATTATTCTTTTTCCTTATCTATAAATAAATAAAAAATTTTATTGAGAATACTGGTGATGTTTAACAAAGGGTCTCTTTAGATTTATTCTTATCAATATAAACCTTGAAGATACCTCTATCATTGGCAACAAAAGATCAGCTCGTTTGTTGAAGCCGAAATGGTAATACTCATTTTTTCTCGATAAAATGACTTTTTACAAGTATAAGAATATTCATGGCTAACTTGTGATTTTTAGCACTGTGAAAATAATACAGTTACATTACGTTTAATTTATGGGTGAGGTATTTCACTGAAAATGACAGTATTCATTAATACTACTGACTATATTTTTTTTGTCTACAAGTTTATCGAGTCAAAATGATAATTTAGTCCTGAATGCTTTCAAACTAAATATATGAGTGAGCAATATAATCAAGGAAAAAAAATGGAAAGGACAATACTTTGTTAAGCCTTTTATGACATTAAATAGAAGAAAAGAAAAAGCTTTATTTAACATAGAATTTATATTTAAAAGAATTGAAAATGAGAGAAAAACTCTTTCTATGAATATTACATACCTTGATTGTGTAAGGTTTAAATTGTACTAAATTTCGTATCAGCTGTGCGCAGCTAGAATAAGGTAAACAAGTCTAGTTAGAACAGTAGTTAATTTCTCATATTCAATTTAATTATTTGGAAAAAATGAACTCAATTTTAAGAGTGGGCCATTGAATTACTTTTTTTAATACAATCATTTTTGTGACATGAGATTTTCAGTTCAGAAAATAATAAAAAATATTTCTCACGTAATAAACGGTTAAATATACGTGAAACCTTGATGTATATCACTCAACATATTCAATGAAAATATCACATAAAAATTTTGTTCGTATACTTCATCTCATTGTTTGTTGGTATATTTATATTGAAATATAAAATAAATACAGATATTTTTATATAAACAGACAACAAACAAAGACTTGTAAAGAAAAATATATAAACAAACCTAAACACTTACGTTCATTTTGCCTTGATTGATGAAGATCGACAATTATTAGCTACAACTTTGTTTATTCATTTCAATAGTAGTAAAGAACTTAGAAGAGTGGCTGTGGATGTTATTTCTGTTATATCCACACCCACCGACATATTTGCAGAATCTATAGTATATTCACTTTTTGAGCACACAAAAAAGATCAAAGTAAGATTACGAAGTAGAACATTGTTTTGTGTGCTATTATACTTTTATATAAAATTTATTATATAAAGATAAGAAGTATAGCATTCTTTTTGGTGTTGGAGATAATATTACTTATCTTTTCGTGCTCCTCAAAAAGAACCGACAAATATAAAGTAGTCTTATACAATACCTCGTTATTATTTTAGTTTACAACTCCCGTAGAACACAAAATGCTTAACAATCAGAGTGAAAGTAAGCTTCTCCTTGAAAATAAACAACGACAAAAATGGTGGCGTCATCGTCCGGCTAAGATCATCTGCATCACTTTTATTCTTTTAACAATTTTTGTAGTGACCCTCTCACTAGTATTAAAATTCGTTGTTTTTGCACCGCCCAAGGTAGAAACCTCTACTACTACTACTACTACTACAACATCAGTAATAACAACATCAACATCAACCACAACAACGACATCGACTTCAACGTCAACAACAACTACGACCACTACTACTCAAGGGTCAGGTAGGCTTTAAAGAAATCTTTCTTAACCTTTCAAAATGCTACTGTTCAATGAGGTAAGTGTGGATATTTAATTTCATCACTGATTCCACCCACACTAACTTCTGTGATCTCTAGAAAAATTCAAAGAATCGTATAATGAAAATGAAGTAAAAACTTTCATTTAAAAATCTAAAATATTTTGTTGATTATTACATACTCTTGAGGATTCCATAGTACAAAATATTTACAGAATAAATACATTTTCGAATACTTCCTTCTAGGATGGTCTGATACTGGTCATATGAATGGTGCACGAAGTTATCATACAGCATCCGTCTTAACAGATGGAAAAGTATTAGTAACGGGTGGATATAATATTAATGTAACTCTGGCTAGTTGTGAATTGTATGATCCAGCAACACAAACTTGGACAACTACTGGTAATATGCATATAGAACGGTATCGTCACACAGCATCTGTATTGACAGATGGGAAAGTGTTAGTTGCCGGTGGATCTACTCATAGTTCTTGGATAAATAGTAGTGAATTATATGATCCAGCGACAGGCAATTGGACAATTACTGGTAGCCTGAATTATCCACGAAATATGCACATAGCAACAGTGTTAAAAAATGGAAAAGTCTTGGTTGCTGGTGGAATAGGTGATCGTGATACTCCGTATAGTGCTGAGTTGTATGATCCATCAACAGACAATTGGACAAAAACTGGTGACATGAATCGTGCACGAGAGTCTCACACAGTATCCGTTCTAACAAATGGCAACATCTTAGTTACTGGTGGTACTCGTGGGAGTGGGAATAGTGCTGAATTGTATGATCCATCGACAGGTAATTGGACACTTACTGGTAGCATGCACTATGAACGACAGTGGCATAAAGCAGTGGTCTTAGCAAACGGAACAGTATTGGTATCTGGTTCAATTGGTACTAACACTGCTGGATATACTGCTGAATTGTATGATCCATGGACCGGTAATTGGGCACTTCTTGGTGGTTACCTGAATAAGCCACGATTCTATCATACAGCATCTGTACTAACAAATGGAAATGCATTAGTCACTGGTGGATGTCACGTTACTTGTGGAAATACGGCCGAATTATTTAATCCAGCAACAGGTAATTGGACAATAATTGGTAACATGAATAATATGACTAATGGACGATTTCGTCACACAGCATCTATCTTAGCGAATGGAAAAATTTTGGTTGTTGGTGGCGATGATCAAAATGAGATTTATCTAAAGAGTGCTGAGTTATATCAACCATTGTAACGATATTTGTTTTGCTCTTATGATTCCTTCTTATTTGTTGTATTGTCCTTATTCCATAAATCATATCATACTTTGTCTTTATAATCTCTTTCTATCTGATGGATTGAGTGATGTCATAATCCCATTACACCGGGTATTCTACTACAAACACGTCGCTTACAAAGTTACCCCGCTAGGGTATCGTGCAACCACCTCGTTACCCAAATGAAGTATATGTGAAAAGCTGAGGAATATGAGTTGATTTGGAGCAACCACCTCGTTACCCCAAATGAAGTATATGTGAAAAGCTGAGGAATATGAGTTGATTCGGTGTAACCACCTCGTTACCCCAAATCCACTCATATTCCTCAACTTGTATAATGAATGTATTTTTTAGTGGGGTAATGGAGTCATTACTCCTTGGTATAATATGTGGAGTGAATGTTAATTTACTTTCGTTGACCTCATGTTAGGATATCCTGCCGTCTGACTGTCGATACCCGGGGTAATGGTATTATGACATCTATGGATGGATTGATATATAAGTGTATGTTTAAGGGTGTGAGTATGGATAGGGATCAGTGATGAATTTTCTTTAATCCTTCATATGATTAGCCTCTTCCTTAAGTATGTTCCTGAAAGTAATTACTTGAAGTTTCACACAAAGTTAATTTTTAATTTTGAACATGAAACGTGCAAACTTCTTACAATCAATGAATTGTCAAGTATGAATACACGTTACATATTATTGTGAAAATATTAAATTATTAATGATGGAAACGATATAAATAATCTTTTCAATATATTTCAGTATAATTCTATATTTGAGTTACTACGACACAAATCTTTAATTTTGTATTTAAGATGAATAATCATGTAAGTATACTATAGTTAAAATATATGGGAGTTATTTGATATTACGAGAAGATTAATGTACTTAAATTGGTTGTAATTTCAGAAGAGGCTGAATAGATGTGGAAATTGATATGTAAAACTAGGTACTCGCGTTCTTACACTAATGTCATGAAATTTTGTCACTTGATTAGAAAAAATATCTAATAAAAAGTACGAAAAAGTTTAATTTTTCGCTATTGGTTGTGCTCAGTATGAATGCTTGATCGGTCTTGTTATGCAAAGATTGAATTAGTATCAGTGACAGTTAGAAAATAAATACATAATTAATACTATGGAAAGCATATTCGCTTCTTTATTTTTATTAATAGACTAACAATCGTTGATTTCATATGAAATTATAAGGATGTGGGATGTGACTAGATAGAGATGTTCAAATGTTTTAAATTTGTTATACATAAATCAAGTTAATTTCTTGTTTGTGGTATATGACTTGCAGTTATTGTATTAGCTGTTGATGTCGGTCGCCGCCAAAGAAATAATTTAATTACTTCCCCACGAAACAATTGACTCGATAATACGAACAAGTAGAAATTAGTACATGGGCCAATAGTAGCTATCCAATTTACAATTGTTACGAGAAGAGTATCGTTAGCTTTGTCTATGTCATTTTTCACTATTAAATTACTTGTTATTGAAACGTAAAGGTTACCTATAGAAAGAATAGTTGTTGTCGCGCCAAATACAAATGATTGAATTAATAACATTTGAAATAATTGTCGATTTATTTTCTTTTGATCTCGTTGACGCAGATTTCCAGTATTTTGAGGTACTATTCTTCTGCTTCCTTGTCGAATATGTCGAATAGTAAGCAAGCCAAAAACAAGCATACATATAGTTGGTATCCAACTCCAAAAAACTAAGTTCCAAATACCGAAAAAACTTCGATAGGCAACCGATGCAATACTACATGATCGTTGAGGTAACAAAATTGTATTATAGAAGGGTACATGGATGAAAGCAATACCAATGAATAGAATCGTACATGGAATAGCACGATAAGCTATACGCATACTACTCCATCCACGAAGCGTAACAGATGATGAGCTGCAAAGAAACCTATAAAAAAGAAATTAATTGATCATAAATTAACGAAAAACAAATACCGATCAATTGAAGCTAGAGCGATGAACCAAGATGGTAATACTCTTTAAAAAGAAACACAAAATATTATTTCTTTTTATCATCTTTCATAAAGATTTGCTTTACCGAACACTGTTTAAAATATATGTTAAAGATTGACACATTGCAACTGAATATGTGAATACATCAATATTATAGCCAACTTGAAGTAATTTAAGTGGAATATTTATATAAACAACAACACACCCAGACAAAGTCGATGCCAAAAAATAGCACACACATGGATTTGAACGAAATATACGCCGTGTAAAAACATAAATACTCAAAGTATGACCAATTACACCAATGATGAAGAGACTAATGCCAAAAACTTGAGTAGATATGATTGTACTTTGCTTGATATTATTTATTGTAATAGATGACGATGACATTGCACTAATAATACACAATAAGAATAGTTTATGTTTCTTCTTTGCTTTTTTTTCTTTGGAGATTCCTTTATTAATTAATTTTCTATTATATTCTTCATCAGTTAAATGACACCTTCATGCTATAGTCTAATACAGAAGATGAAATAGAGCTGTCTCAAACTTACTGATAAGATAAAATGATATGTCGCATTAATTACAAGGAAAAACAAGCGGATTTCTGCACTTCTAACGTTAAGACATAACTTTCATCTGATATCTTGTAGACGCAAAACTTTCCAAAACAGATCAGATTTTGTTAGGATACATTCATTCTATGATGAGTACTTATTTGACATCAAGAAGATTTCTATGGAACATAATACAACGATGTAAATCCTATTTCGTATATCATTGTTATATGTAACCCTAGAGCTCGATAACATATATATTATTTAATTCAAATGAAATACAAATTTTTGGAAAAATATTCTTGACTATTCTACAATTTTTTGTAAAAACTATATTTTATAGTTTAATCTATTTTCAATGTCCAGAAAATTATCAAATAACCTTTTATTTGTTCACTTCTATAATAAAAATTAAGCATGAAGAAACGAATTTCGCTCTAAATATTATAATAATTAAATCAATTCTATTACATAGTCTTTTTCCAAAGAAACACTTGGTTAGTATAATACGCGTGACACGTCAGTTACGCGCGCGACACTTGCGCGCAAAAAATTCTTTTCATTCTGGTAGTGAGAATGGTTTATCAAAAGAATACATAAAAGATACTAATGAGAATCAAAGGATAATCTAGTTTTAACATCAAACTTGCTTTTTGCATCAAAATGAGATTAAAACTAAACAAAATAAATCAGATAAAAGTACAAAGAGAAAGTATATATATGTCTCTTATAAAATCAGTCAAAGGCAAAGACCAACGCACAAAATATGAAAAAATTGATCTTCAAATACGAAACATGGTCAAAAAATTTCATACTGTTTCTAGAAACGACTACTTTAAAATAGTCAAATCAGTGTTTAATTTCTGACCGACTACATTCTTTACTCTCAATTATTATTCACTCAGCGTATTTGTTTATTTATATCAATACATTTTTTGAAATTGAGAATTATTTTTTTATCAGCAGCTAAGCATAAATTTCTGCTCGTTTATAATTCAAATCAAATTTAAGAGAAAAATAGTTTATCATCTTTTCCTCAATTCGCGCGTAAGTGTCATGCGCGTAAGTGTCGTGCGTGCAAATGTGTGCGCGTAAATGTAGGTCAATCCAAAATTGCAATTATTTAACTGAATTCGTTTATTTGATAAATATATTACATTGATTAAAGAAGAACAACATAAAACATCGAACACAAAATAATTAGATATAAACTGACACTTTCAATCGACGATATCAATGAATAAAAATGAAAACTGACATACATAACAACATCAAACAATGAATGCTTAATGAACTTATTTGATAAACTGTAATTTCTTTCCATATTAAGTGACTAAGTCATAAGAACATATTTTCATTATTTACTTACATATAAACGTATTTTTTTATATTTTAATAATAGAAAGTTTTTAGTTATGCCTTGTATATAGTATTTTTATGGTTTATTAAGATCACTAGTCGCATTAATATTACGTTGTTGCTTTTCCAAGATTATTCTTCTATTGCTATCATTTGATATATTCACTGGATTATTGTGATTTTGACGAAAACAGCGATGGAAAATTTTGAAAACTTCCTTGCGAAAAACGGCACCAGTTAGTGTATACAAATAGAAAGTAGTTGAATGAGCAAAATATGTCATTGCATTTACCGTTTGAGTAGCTAAATTTTCTTGAGCAACTCGAATTGAATCTTTAACAATATTTTCTGTGATTGATAAATAGAGTCTTTCAACAGAAGATGGTAACGTTGAAATTACAATGCAAAGAACTTGAGCAGTTAACATACGTAATAATTGACTATCTGTACGTCGAATAGCTCGATTATTTTCACCCATAATGGGTAATACTCGACGACGTTGATGAATATTATTTAATGTAAGACAACCAAATAAAATCATTAATAAAGATGGACATAATGAATACATAATCATTTGCCATAATGCATTGAAAGTACGATAAAAACCTTTTCGTGCATTACATTTTGAAATAATGACACCAAATTGATTCGTTGTATTTCCTATTTCATAATATATAATCATATGAACATATGAAATAATGGATAATATACAGATAGATCCAACAGCTAATCGTGCTATTTTTAATGAACTTAATCGACGCATACGAGCATTTGATGAACTATGTAGATATCGATCGATACATGCTAATACAATTAACCAACAAGATGTAGCACGTACGATAAAGAATGTATAATATTCTAATTTACATATACCAAGATTACGATCAGCTAGATCGGTATTAAAACCATTTGAAAGAATACGTACAGGTACGATAATTAAAATAATAAATAAATTCAAACATGTTGATGAAAAAAAATAAAATGCACATGGTTCATGACGTAAACTTGGTCGAGTAAAAACAATGAGATTTAATAAAAGACCAATAACACCTGGTATAAAACTTGCTAAACAGATTGTTACTACAAGTATAGTTGTTACTTGATTTAAATAATTGATTGTGTCAATAATATTCGACATTATATTATTATAATAATTCTGTTCTTTTTTTACTTTTGTGTAGGTAATATAAAATCTAATAAATAAAAAAAAGGAAGTTTTGAGAATTCTTTTATATCATAATGTGAACGTGCTCAAGTGTTCTACTTTTGAAAAATCATGATGAGAATATTGTGACTTTGTTTTTCATTTGTCTATTTTATATATTATAATGAAAAATAAAGTATATCTTGAAATAAACTATTAATTATCACAGATGAATATGTTCCTTTGTTTTTCTAATTAATATTGTAATATTTATAGACAAGTAACGCTCGTCCGAGGACTCGCTTAGCTCTTTCTCGTAGAAATACATCCTCTTCACATTTATTGGAAAAACAATTGAAAACCATGAAAAATCGGCCTTCAATGTTTTTGACCTTTCCCCCTCATCATGGCTATCCAATAGACCTCAGATTCGAAGTCCCGGCATTAAAATATCTCAAGAAATGTCTTTTCCGGAAAATTGATCTTCAATGTTTTTTTGACCCTGCGGACACACAAGCAACCAAACAATTTATTTTTGCTGAACTCTTCTCTACGAGAGAGACAATATATAGTAGTAGGTGTGGATAAGTAGATGGAGACTATATGTGTATAATATAATTGATTATTAATTACAAATAAGTAAAAATCTCGTTTATTCAAAAAGACTTTTCGAGTATAAAAGAAAATTGGTTTTTAATCAGAATCTATTTCATATTTTTGAATTCGATGATTATCAGAATCAACAACAAAAAGATTTCCTTCATTATCAAATGACAAATCAGTCGGGAAATTTAATTGATTTGAATCTTTTCCTGGACCATTTCCACCAACAATAACTTCACCTTTAGTACCTTCTTCGCACCAACGCATGACTCGATGATTTGCACAATCGACTACATAGATTCGACCTAAATCATCAACAATGACTCCTTCAGGACAAGCTAATTGTTTGAGACTATTTCCTTTTCTATTTCCACCAGCAACAATTTCACCTTCAGT